CCCCCCCCACCCCCTCTTCCACCCACCCCTTTTTTTTTGTCTCTCCGCCAGGGACGCGGCTCTGTCTTTCTGCAGGATGAGCCGAACTTCTGGGCGCTTTGGAGCAAATCGAGGCCTACCCAAGATCAAAGTTCCCTCTAAGCTGAGTGTGAGCTAGCTCACAGTGCTTTTAGCCTCTGGCTCACCCATTTTTGACTTTGCTCCGGTTCACACCTTTTTGTCCTAGCTCGGGAAGGATGGCTCCAGAGCAAACTAATTGCTGCAGTAGCCAAATCGCTCGCTTACAACTTTAATGCCAGCAGCTCACAAAGTAGGATTTTTGCTCACAAGACTCCACAGCTTAGAGGGAGCATTGCCCAAGATCCAAATGCATTTGCAGGCACCGATCCTGGGCTTGCAGATCCTGGTCCTCAGCGATGCTCCTCCTCTCAGCTGTGGAGTCCTGTGAGCAGTGTTCCCTCTAAGCTGAGTTAGTGTGAGCTAGCACACAGTTTTTTAGCCTCCAGTTCACACCTTTTTGTCTCAGCTCGGGAAGGAGGCCTCCAGAGCCGACTCATTTCTGCAGCAGCCAAATCGCTCGCTCACAGCTTTAATGCCGGTAGCTCACAAAGTAGAATTGTTGCTCACCGGACTCCACAGCTTAGAGGGAACATTGCCTGTGAGTACAGATCCATTGACTATTTGGGTTGGGTTACATTTTGATGTCCAGGATTTGCAACTGTTTGGGAGAAGTGCCTTAGAAATATTTTACGACGTTTGCCAGGGAGTTCAGAGCAAAATAAATTAGGAGTGTTACTGGTGGATGAAGATCGATGGATCACTGTGTGGATGGCAAACTTGGTGGCATCAGTTACCAAGATATAAGTAAGGTTATTGAAGTCAATTCTACTTTGTGAGCGACTCGCATGAAAGTTGTGAGCGAGCGATTTGGCTGCTGCATAAATCAGTTTGCTCCGGAGCAATGTTCCCTCTAAGCCATGGAGTCCTGTGTGCAAAAATTCTGCTTTGCGAGCTGCTGGCATTAAAGTTGTGAGTGAGCGATTTGGCTGCTGCATAAATCAGTTTCCTCTGGAGCAATGTTCCCTCTAAGCCGTGGAGTCCTGTGAGCAAAAAATTCCACTTTGTGAGCTGCTGGCATTGAAGTAGTGAGCGAGCGATTTGGCTGCTGCATAAATCAGTTTGCTCTGGAGCCCTCCTTCCTGAGCGAAGACCAAAATGTGTGAGCCGGAGGCTAAAAAAAATGTGAGCTAGCTCACACTAAACTCAGCTTAGAGGGAACATTGCTCTGGAGCTTTGGAGGGTGGACGATAGGGTACTATATCCTGCTGAGGTCCCTCCCCTACCCAAATCCCGTCCTCCCCAAACTCCACCCCCCCAAATCTCCAGGAATCTCCCAGCCAAGAGTTGGTAACTCCAGGTACACTGCACATGATGTCACATTGACCAGACTGTGCAATTTTGCTATGCTAATACATGTTTCCAATAGATAGACCAGTGAGAGTCCATCCAGTCCATCGTCCCATCTCAACCAGTGGCCAACCAGTTCCTCTGGAGGGCCAACAACAGGGCAGATAGGCCAAGGCCCTTCCCCTCATGATAAGAACCTCAGAAGAGCCCTGCTGGGTCAGACCAGGGAGGGTCCATCCAGTCCAGCATCCTGTCTCAACCAGTGGCCAGTCAGTTCCTCTGGAGGGCCAACAACAGGGCCGAGAGGCCGAGGCCTTCCCCTGAAGAGAATATAAGAAGAGCCTGCTGGGTCAGACCAGGGAGGGTCCATCCAGTCCAGCATCCTGTCTCAACCAGTGGCCAGTCAGTTCCTCTGGAGGGCCAACAACAGGGCCGAGAGGCCGAGGCCTTCCCCTGAAGAGAATATAAGAAGAGCCTGCTGGGTCAGACCAGGGAGGGTCCATCCAGTCCAGCATCCTGTCTCAACCAGTGGCCAGTCAGTTCCTCTGGAGGGCCAACAACAGGGCCGAGAGGCCGAGGCCTTCCCCTGAAGAGAATATAAGAAGAGCCTGCTGGGTCAGACCAGGGAGGGTCCATCCAGTCCAGCATCCTGTCTCAACCAGTGGCCAGTCAGTTCCTCTGGAGGGCCAACAACAGGGCCGAGAGGCCGAGGCCTTCCCCTGAAGAGAATATAAGAAGAGCCTGCTGGGTCAGACCAGGGAGGGTCCATCCAGTCCAGCATCCTGTCTCAACCAGTGGCCAGTCAGTTCCTCTGGAGGGCCAACAACAGGGCCGAGAGGCCGAGGCCTTCCCCTGAAGAGAATATAAGAAGAGCCTGCTGGGTCAGACCAGGGAGGGTCCATCCAGTCCAGCATCCTGTCTCAACCAGTGGCCAGTCAGTTCCTCTGGAGGGCCAACAACAGGGCCGAGAGGCCGAGGCCTTCCCCTGAAGAGAATATAAGAAGAGCCTGCTGGGTCAGACCAGGGAGGGTCCATCCAGTCCAGCATCCTGTCTCAACCAGTGGCCAGTCAGTTCCTCTGGAGGGCCAACAACAGGGCCGAGAGGCCGAGGCCTTCCCCTGAAGAGAATATAAGAAGAGCCTGCTGGGTCAGACCAGGGAGGGTCCATCCAGTCCAGCATCCTGTCTCAACCAGTGGCCAGTCAGTTCCTCTGGAGGGCCAACAACAGGGCCGAGAGGCCGAGGCCTTCCCCTGAAGAGAATATAAGAAGAGCCTGCTGGGTCAGACCAGGGAGGGTCCATCCAGTCCAGCATCCTGTCTCAACCAGTGGCCAGTCAGTTCCTCTGGAGGGCCAACAACAGGGCCGAGAGGCCGAGGCCTTCCCCTGAAGAGAATATAAGAAGAGCCTGCTGGGTCAGACCAGGGAGGGTCCATCCAGTCCAGCATCCTGTCTCAACCAGTGGCCAGTCAGTTCCTCTGGAGGGCCAACAACAGGGCCGAGAGGCCGAGGCCTTCCCCTGAAGAGAATATAAGAAGAGCCTGCTGGGTCAGACCAGGGAGGGTCCATCCAGTCCAGCATCCTGTCTCAACCAGTGGCCAGTCAGTTCCTCTGGAGGGCCAACAACAGGGCCGAGAGGCCGAGGCCTTCCCCTGAAGAGAATATAAGAAGAGCCTGCTGGGTCAGACCAGGGAGGGTCCATCCAGTCCAGCATCCTGTCTCAACCAGTGGCCAGTCAGTTCCTCTGGAGGGCCAACAACAGGGCCGAGAGGCCGAGGCCTTCCCCTGAAGAGAATATAAGAAGAGCCTGCTGGGTCAGACCAGGGAGGGTCCATCCAGTCCAGCATCCTGTCTCAACCAGTGGCCAGTCAGTTCCTCTGGAGGGCCAACAACAGGGCCGAGAGGCCGAGGCCTTCCCCTGAAGAGAATATAAGAAGAGCCTGCTGGGTCAGACCAGGGAGGGTCCATCCAGTCCAGCATCCTGTCTCAACCAGTGGCCAGTCAGTTCCTCTGGAGGGCCAACAACAGGGCCGAGAGGCCGAGGCCTTCCCCTGAAGAGAATATAAGAAGAGCCTGCTGGGTCAGACCAGGGAGGGTCCATCCAGTCCAGCATCCTGTCTCAACCAGTGGCCAGTCAGTTCCTCTGGAGGGCCAACAACAGGGCCGAGAGGCCGAGGCCTTCCCCTGAAGAGAATATAAGAAGAGCCTGCTGGGTCAGACCAGGGAGGGTCCATCCAGTCCAGCATCCTGTCTCAACCAGTGGCCAGTCAGTTCCTCTGGAGGGCCAACAACAGGGCCGAGAGGCCGAGGCCTTCCCCTGAAGAGAATATAAGAAGAGCCTGCTGGGTCAGACCAGGGAGGGTCCATCCAGTCCAGCATCCTGTCTCAACCAGTGGCCAGTCAGTTCCTCTGGAGGGCCAACAACAGGGCCGAGAGGCCGAGGCCTTCCCCTGAAGAGAATATAAGAAGAGCCTGCTGGGTCAGACCAGGGAGGGTCCATCCAGTCCAGCATCCTGTCTCAACCAGTGGCCAGTCAGTTCCTCTGGAGGGCCAACAACAGGGCCGAGAGGCCGAGGCCTTCCCCTGAAGAGAATATAA